GGGCTTATTTTTGGAGGGGCTTATTTTCGGAGGGGCCTATCTACGGAGGGAAATTTGCGTTTCAAAATCGATTGGGCTAGCCTTAAAGTTGGAAGTAAATTTACCGTTTTTGCTTTGTGTTACTTTGTATTTGAGGGCAATTTCCAAGTACAAGCCCCCAGGGGGCTTATATTTGGAGGGGCTTATACATGGAGGGACTTATTTTCGGAATTTTACGGCATTCTAAAAAGATGTAGCGTTCAAGTGCTTTTTAAAAAAATCACGGTAGAAGATAAGATATTTCAGTTTGTCACAAGTCTTCTGCGTATTCGTATTGCGGAATATCATCAATCAACCACTGCTTTATTTGAGTGGTATATTTGTTTACCGGCGGAACACTTTCATCAACCACTGACAACAGGCATTTTCCCCTTCATTAGCTAAGCGCGTTGCTATGATATATATGTATATATCTTTCTGCAGGAACGACTGGGTTTACTCAAATACATTTTTCTGTTAAAAATCAACACAGATATGTGCAAAACAACCAAGATATTACGAGCTAGTAAGAACTCTGGTAAAAATAGGAACTCGAGCGTCGGTTTCCACCGGAAAACGGATAAAGGAACTTGGACCAAAAAAATCGAAGTTGCTCCTTCATCGCGTCGCTTTATGACCATAAACACTCAGGACACAAAATATTACCGAATCTTACCGTTAGGTACCCCTCTATTTCTTGAAACAGAAATCACAATAAACGGCAGTTTTAGTTTCCATTGCTTATAATTGCTGTTTGTTCAATTGTACCAAGTAAGGGCCCGGCGTGATTAAGGGGTTTACCTGATATTGTCAAAATGACACGCTATGATGCATGTATTACGTGGGGGGAAACCCCTACTCACAAAACCCCTACTCACTTTTCACTTCTTCCGTCTCACAAACTATAAAACTATCATTCATCTGCTCAGTGCAGACAGTGGTCATCCGTTGGTTGTACAGGGACTTGGACGAAACAGAACCGAGTTTGCAATCTTTGGTGAGTACTTAGGCAGGTATTTTTGACTTTCTAATCAATTTATTCGCGAGATGTAAATAGTTGTATGCTTAAATTCATCGCATCGGGTTCTGCAACACGGACCGGAAGCGTCCTAGCTAGAGCGCCAACTTTTAAAAAAGTGAAATGGTTGTGCTGAAATTTTGGAAAAAAAACAAACCGGTTTGGTCAACCTTAAACCACAATCAAATCAACTCACACCATTTTTAAATACCATGAATGAAAATATAATAATTATCCAGACGGGTTTTCAAGTAAATTGGCGCGCGCGGTAAACTCATGTCAGATGCTACACGATAACGACGATGCATCACTCAGAATTGTATCACTGAGAAATGGCTGTGAATAATGGCAGCTTCTGTAGGTCTTGTATTGAAATAAGTTTCTACATTATTTTCGGTCAACAGCAACATTATTTTGACGGAATATAAATATTTGCCCTCCGCGTAGGTGTCCACACGGTACGTGTGCGCCAAAATTTACTGTAACGCTGGCCGCATATAAAGTACGTAGAAATATTAAATTTGAAAGTTTCAGTGTTCGAAATTTAAGACCAGTAAAGGTTCGTTCGTTTTAGAGAAGCCGTGGAGTAGTGTTGAAAAACCGTTGGAGCTCAGAAAATAATTGTTCTCCATTCTATCTAAACCAGAAATTGTTTTAATTAGCATAATGAACAGCTCTCAAAATCACTATTTTAATCCTATCACAAGCCCCACAGATTCCCAAATTTTTCTACGGATTTCTCTAGAATATATAAAGAATAGAACTCGCTTTGGTCTGGTACAGCGCACTGATCGATCGTTGTCGTTCGCAAATGCAAATGCTCCGATAGATATTAAGGTAATTACCGTCTGAAACCAAAACGTGCTTCGCCTCGGTCTAAATACGCTAGTTTCCGTCACGAAACACTTATTATAAGTTACCGTGGGACACCTTTAAATTTTGCGGGTTCTAGTTTTGCGTTTATTTTATTGTTATTGTTTTTTTACCTTCAAGTAAAGTTTTGGCAAAAGACGCGCGCATAACCTGGCACTTGGCAACAACATGCTGTCAGCGGGAATCGCAGGTGAAAAAATTAAAGGGACTTTTCCCATGACCTCTTAGAGCAAATGGCCTATTCAAAGAAAACGTCTTAGCAAGGAGATTATGGTTACTTAAATTTCCAAACATTATACACTTGAGATACGATTTTCCCTGACGTTTTTTCGTCATAATTAGCGGAATGAATCTCGGAAATCCGTCTATCCCATTTAGAATTATATTTCCGGTCAATTCTTGGAAGCTCCATAACACTCTGTTTAATTAAGTTTTATTTTTTTTATTTGCAGATCGATTATTAAGAAATCTTTCCTGAATTCACCATGCTTAGTCAGTACATGTGTGTTTTACCTGATAATGACAAGAAGCCTTTTGATCTTCAATACCTGTGCCCGTCCTGCAGAAATGTGCTGAGAGATCCAGTACAAACTAGTTGTGGACACCGATACTGCAGGTCTTGTATAGAGGAGTTGTTAAGGTAATTTTAAGTTCGATCGTCTCCCTCTTAGGTCATCAGACATCGTAAAATACTACAAGCAAAGGGAAATACTAATACGTTACAAAAAGTGGAGTGGGAAGGGAAAACAAGCACGTGGACCGGCAAAATGAAAAATGGGAGCAAATCCTAACTTGAACAGCAATAGTCTGCGAGTAGTCTCTTATTTTTCTTTGCAAAGCTACTGCACGCGAAACCCAAGCACGCGAGCAGCGATAAACAAGACCGTCTTAAAGCCCGTCCCAGTCCCTCATTATTGTAACGTAACGTGGTGGAACTAGACGGATTTTAAGAGAAAAGGCTGACCGCAAGCAGTCTAACCCTAGCAGTAACGGGCTCAATTTTCAATTCTACGGTTTGTTCCCATTTTTTCATTTTCCCTTTCTCGGTGCTTGTACCCTGCTCCCCGTTCCTCTTTATAGTTTCTTCCGAAATTAAATACGAACTGGAAAATAAGCACCTCATACCATAAGCACACTTTATGTTATTACTTTGTATATGTAAGAAATACTTCACGGACGTTAAGAACCGCCGATGCTGACCTGCCTGTGAAGTACATCTTTACTGAGTTGCAGCCACTGCCAATACTTAATGATCTACACTACACACATGTAAAAACAATCGTACACAAGCACAAAAATGCATGAGGTTTATTGTCGCGTGGCGTTAATGCTATATCATGGAATTTCTCTCTGATAAACATTTTGTTTCTTTTTTGTTTCGATTTTTGTAAGGTCGTCTTCTGGCAAGTGTTTGGTCGATAACAAACAAATCAAAAGGAAAGAGGTAAATACTCTCTTGTTAGCTCTTGTTCTTGTTCTCTTGTTAAAGTTTGAAGCTTTAAAGGACGGAAAAGAACTTACTTTGCCAACGAACAGAGCAGAAGATTTAGACTTCAGCGTGTAAGATAAAAGAAAATCCGCTTTTTTAATGCCAGCAGTATAGAGCCTACTTTTAATTCAGGCTGAATCGTCTCTAACAAAATAATGTACCATAAAATCATTTCTTTCTTAGATTTTCGAGGACCATTTTGCAAGACGCGAGATTCTGTCGTTACCAGTCCAGTGTACTAACCACGGCGACGGCTGCGATTGGAGAGGGGAACTGAGACAACTAGAAGTATGTTGTATTACGTCATTGAAAATATTCTGCCGTTTCGTTCTTGCTTTAAAAAATAGGAAAACAACGGATCCCTGAGGGCAAATCTTCGTTCTTTTTATTTTACGCAATTGACTATTGGTGTCGTTTCCCCCCAACAAACGCTAGGGTCGCATTAATGCTTAATGCTCCTTTTTGAATACCGCTCCCTGTAGCTTTGACCATGCACCAAGCCTTAAACATTTTACTCCTTTGTTTCACTGCTTAAGGTTCACATGGAAAAATGCTCATATGCAAAGGTTCAGTGTATGCATTCTGGTTGCGGAGCCCTGGTACCAAGGGACGATTTGCCTCGCCATCTGACTGAAGATTGCAACTTCAGGCAGGTGATTTGTCAGCTGTGCAAACTGGAGACAACTGCTGACCAGTTAAAGGTAACATTTGTCAATGAGTTTATTAGATTAAGAATTGTTTGACTAGAAAGGGCGGATGATCTGCCGCAAAGCAAGCTGCAGAACTTGCGAATCTTGATTGATTGATGAATCATTTCAAGGAATCGATGTATCTCTCGATGAAGCTTTCTTCTTATGACGATATATGCCCTTGATCATAAGATTTTAATGCTCCTATTACCAGTCCAAAGTTTTGCAGGTTTGCCCGTTCATGTTCTGTAAATGATATTTAGTCATTGTGTCTTTTTGCAGCAACACCACGAAGCGGACTGTCAGGAATACGTCGTAGATTGTCCGAAATGCTTCGCTGTGAAAATGCCACGAAAACAGGTAAATTGTAATTAAAGTCAAATTCCACGTGACTGTGTGCATCGGATTCTTGGCTTTTTGTTTATTCCTCCATTCACCCACAAGGCTTACTAGAAAGTCGATTGATAAAAGCAAGGCTCTTATGGTGTCTGCGAACGATGTTTCCTTTTGAAAATTTGTCTCAGAAAGTTTAAGGCTAAGTTCACACTACAGTCGACTCGCCTTATTGCGGACACCCTCGCGGGGGAGATTTAGTGTCCGTAATAGCCGGGTACGAGAGAAAAAATTGTTTTCTCCTTAAACTTATGAAATAATATCTATAAGTCCCAGACGCAATGTAGTTTCGACAATTCTTTACTTCTTTTAACTGTGGACCACAATAGATTATAAAGCAATCCCACTGTAGCTCTTGATTAAAGGTAATAAGATTGTAAATAGATCTAAGTATGCTGTAGTATCACTTCCAAGCTCCTGCAATGACAAGGGATGCATAAGAAAGGGCTAAAATGTTAACTTGCTGTCAAATATGTTTTTTATTGTTTTTGGCATGCGCAGCTCTTTTATCGCAAAAATGCTGCACAGAAACCTGTGCAACGACGTTTACAGTAGAGTGTTAAAATAACGCAAAATATTTGTAAGCTCTAATGGCAATGTCTTTTCTCCCTAAATGCTATACAGCTGTCAATTGTTTACTCTTTTACAAAGAAACAGGCGATAGTACTTTGTATCACTTTTTCCTTTACTGTGACGTCGCTATTTTCTTTATGTTGTGCGAGTCAGGATTTTTGACGAAGTACTCGAGTATCAGCTATATCAAGAGAAAAAAAAACAAGTGAACTGTCGCGCTTGGAGGCAGGAAATTGTCCGCATTCCCGTAATAGCGAGAGTCCGTAATAGTGGGAGTTTATTTCAGTCATTTCTTTACTGTGTTTCGCCGGGGGGACTGGTTCTTGTCCGCATTGGCGGGGTGTCCGTAAGGCGAGAGTCGACTGTATATCGGATAGCTTTTGCGCCGGCGCGAAAATCATACCGGTTAAGGCTTCTGTTTACACACAAGAACGGTTGTGGCAGCGTGATTTCCGTGACATAGCGAAGCTGCGCCGCCGCGCCCATCTCTAAAGCGGAAAGTCAAAAGCGGCGCTACGAAAAGCTATCCTGGATAGTGTGAGTAGAAGCTAGTCTGTAGATCAAGATGAGCTATGAATTACATACTAAAAGCTAATACATACATTCTTGGAATTGAACGATTTTGCACTTTAAGAAGGCAAGACTGTGTTCAAACTACAGGAAAGTAGAATAATATGACGCTTACTATTAATCTACAACAGCTTTCGAGCCACCTGGATTCTGTCAATGGAGATTGCGAAGCTTTTGAGGCAGCTTGTCCGTTCCACACCGTAGGATGCCCGGATAAAGAGGTTGGTCTTGTGAAAACATACTGTTTTATGCTTGAAAAGCCAAAATTTTCCATGCAAAGTATTGTTAAATCCCCTTGTCACCGTAAAATGTAAATAATAATAATACAAACCTCTCAAGGACAAAACGTTTTAAATCAAACTATACGATGTGAAGAGAAAATTAGTACGAAGCTCTCACTTCAGTTCAACACCGCACTTTTTATAGACAGAAATATGACAAACCCATGTTTTTGTTCTTTTTAAATTCATTCACGCTTTCAAACTTCAGGCTTTCGGCACAAAGTCTTCAAGCCAGACGAACATATTTATATTGCTTCCGTTTTAAGTACCCACACTACCTCTTTCAAACTACAGAATTTATAATCCTTTGAAAACAATAGCTTAAAACATAACATAAGTCAACGAGAAAAATATGATAAATTAATGAAAACAAAATAAGGCCCTTGAACGTAGCTAACTATAGGCGTGCTTTTTTTGTTTTCATTTTTTATAGCCAAGAAAGAGAAAAGAAAACAAGGATCATCAGGGTAAAATGGTGACAAATCACCTTAACTTTCTCCTGTTATTTGTGCAACAACTGTCAAATTTGGTGTATTCCAAGATTGATCATGCAAATACATCAACGGAAAGATATCGACTCTTGGAAACCATGGATACCACAATTCACAACTTACTACAAAAAGTAGAAAATATCATAGTAGAACAGTCTGACATGTCGAAACTACTTCAAAGCCATGGTACACGCATTAGTGATGCTGAAAAGTGCATTGAACGCCTTTTAATGGATGACGTCATACCTGACAGTCCTCCTTTAAACTCCATGCATCTTTGGTCTCAAGGCGAAGCGGGTATAAGTCGTGTATTGCATAGGTTGGACAATGCTGATGCAAAAGCAGCTAATCATGAAGTTCTGTTGGTTGAAATGAACGCAATGGTGCAAGAAAAGACCAAGCATGTCAATGTCTTAGAGACTCAGCTAAGAAATGCAAATGAGGAAATTAGGAAACTTCAACGGCGAATGGAAACTTTGGAGTATAATTCAAGTCTCAGGAATATCGCTACCGCTGATTTAGAAGAACATATTAGACAGCAGGAGTTTTCGTGCAATGATGGTATCCTTATATGGAAGATCACCGATTTTGCAAAGCGCAGGAACGAAGCCATAACTGGCAAACAGGTGTCTTTCTATAGCCCGTGCTTTTACACTAGTCGCCATGGCTACAAAATGCGCGTGCGTATCTATTTAAACGGTGACGGCATCGGCAAGGGAACGCACATTTCACTGTTTTTTGCTGTCATGCGCGGTGAGTACGACGCAATACTACGCTGGCCATTTCAACAGAAGGTTACACTCATGTTACTTGATCAAAACAATGTAGAACATGTAATCGACGCCTTTAGGCCGGATCGCAACAGTTCATCTTTTCAGAGACCAAGAAGAGAAGTAAACATCGCTAGTGGATGTCCTACATTTTGTTCCTTATCAGAGCTACACAACCACGCCTATGTCAAAGACGACACCATGTTTATCAAAGTCATAGTTGATACCTGCGATATATAAAATGGTCACCGTTTCTTAACAAGGCTAGAAGATGTATTTTATTTTACATTATTGATCACATCCTTTTTAACTGTATTTAGCTGTTTAACATTGCTTATATTATTATATATATCTACCTGGATTGATGAAAACAGGGTTAGGAAAAAATTTTCTCTCAAATTCCCCTGTCTTAGCTTGTTAACTGAGTTGTTAAAGGGACATTCTCGTCCCCACAGCCACTCGGCTTAATTTGTAACCGACCAGTGGCTGAGCCCCTCGTTTCCCGACCACGTGACCAAGAAACGACGGGCTCTGGGGACGAGAATGTTAAAGGGACAGTGTCCCGATTATGCGCACGCGCAAGCGTCATCTGTTTTTTCTTCAAAAAAAAAAAATAAAAAATAAATAAAAACATAGAACTGTCATATTGACCCGACAAGATTTCTTTCCCGACCGCACCGCCACCGGAGATTTGTTGTTTACATTATCAAGTTATATTTTAGATTTTCAAAGAAGTCTTTCGTCTTATTTAAAATTTGGCTCGCAGCACGAAGGCCCATCGCGATTTTATCGCAAGCAGGGCCGCGTCGCGACCGTGTCAAACTTTGCCTATTGTTATATGGTTGCATTTTTCAAAGACAATAGCGCTTTTGTCCGTGATATTCTTTTGTGTTTTCAGATACTGCGCCCGACCTTCATTCGGCCATGATGATCGGCAAGTTGTCGTTCATAACATTCTCGTTCCGCACGCTTTAAAAACAGCCTTTCTAATGTGAAACTTGTGTCAGAGGTCAGTTGTTCCAAGTCCAGTAATATTCATATGATTTGCTCGCCTTCTAGCCTCAAACGTTTGAAAGACAAACATAAAAGTGCAATCTCAACGCTATGAATCATCGCAGTGCCATGAAATTTCATGGCACTAGTTTTTCTAAGGCATGTAGCGCCTGTTTGTCTGATTTTGTCGGCCGTAGGAAGGTTCATTTAAAGGTTTACCAACGCGTCGTTGCAAAATATTCTACTTCACGAAGCTTAAGTCCACAAGATCTCCTCAGTCACATAAATATCTCAATGGTTACTTTCTTACGGTCTTTATTGTTGCTGTTTCATTTCTGCATATTCCTTTCACAATTATCGGACCTTGTATGGAAGCTGGCAGAAGAAATAAGCCTTCAATTGGCATCAAAGTGCTTCCCATCTTTTGGTCCTCCAGCCAACGGCAATAAAAGTAATGCCAAAAAATTCCGATTTCACCCAAATCGAAAGTTAACGGGAAAAATATATCATTGATCTGTAATCCTCAGAAGTTTTAGTGTAGTATTGTACTCGGCCAAGCACGATGCAAACGGATTTTTCAAGGTTCTCTTACTCTCCTCGCATCTTTCGCGACATCCTGTCCAAAAATCTGTTTGGTGTATGCGAAGTAACGGGATACTGTTCCTTTAACTTATGCCGTTTTTTGGTTGTTTTGTGGTTAAGGATTCAGGGGCACCCAATGGGAAATTTTGAGAAAAGACCGAAAACTAACAACAAAGCATGAATAAAGCTTTCTGAAGCCCATTTAAGCATTTTGGGAGATTGATGGGAAAAGTTTATCTGTTCCTCACTCTGAGCAAGTCTGATGGAAGAGTTCGCAGCCAGCAAGATGCACCTACATGTACACCCTGAAACCTGACTTACTGGGAAGTTTCCCAGGAGACGTATATCCAGACATTACTGGCCAGTTTGGGTGTGGGGTCATAGAGAAAAATTCAGACCTTCAGTGTGTTGGTGTGTTGGTGGTGGTAAGACAATGGGTGTGGCAGAAGGGTGCGATTCACCCCTTCAGTGGGAGGTGGGGGACTTTCTGACAACTTAAACAAAGCAACTACTCTAGACAAGAAATACGCTCAGACGCCCAGAATTGTCTTTTTCCCAAAAATACTTTCCTTCCATGAACATATAATTACTTACACATCTCCCATTTTGCAAAAATTGGCCTGAATAACAGATAGTTTGAGGAACAAATCAATTCGGTGCCCCTGAGGATTTGTGTAGATGTGGCGGTAGACAGAATTTCGCGAATTTCTATTTTTTCTCACCCACTCACCCCCTCCCTCTTTTTTTTTTTCTTTTTTCATCCCACCCACAATTCTCTTTTAGACACAAGTGACAGTTATTTGAAATCAGTGCATGCCTAAAGCTGGCTTCGGAGCCGTTTAGCAGTTTACATTTCGTTATTGGTCAACTTGAGAAACGTTTTCCAGAGAGCATCATGCAAAGCTCTGAGATGGGACAAAGTTATTACGATTTCTCAGAGTCTGCATCGTCTTATATCGTATTGTCTTCTCGTTTCATTTGGCTAAACGGATCAATCACCCTGATCCGGGCTGAGACAGAAAGGAACGATATTGTTCGCTTTAATTTCTAAGGTGACCACTAAGCCTTTGGCCACGGGAACAGGGTCTTAGGAGTCAAATAAACTAGGCGAGAGCAAAATTGCAGGCGAACTTCGAGCTGGGCCAAGACTATGGGTCAATGCTAGCGCTTGTCTGCCGACCGTGTGACTGTACATCCAGGAACTTGAATAAGACGAGTGTAAGAGAAAAGTCCACGGGTGTTTATCTGCCAATAGGCTGAGTTTTTCCGAGTTATTTGATGATATTTTGCTCGTGTTAGACGTGACAAAATTATGGCTTTGAATATGTCGGTTTTTGCCGATAAGTATGGTTTAAAAAACCGTTCAAAATTATTCTGGGGGTATTTCCGACCTCGGAAATGCAATTCACGGGGTCGGAAATGCGTAAGAGGGCTCGTTTTTTTACTTACCAATATCGGACCCGTAAACAGACTTAATCTCGGGATCGAAGTCAATTCATGGGGTCAGAAGGGGTCGGGTTTCTGCGTCCTCGAAAATAGATCTTAATCTCGGGTTCGAAATCTAAATTACGATCTCCGGATTCATTCCTTACCAGCGGCCCAGGAGTTTCATTCCTGATGTCTGAATTCCTACCAACAACTGGACCCTTATTCCTGCTATCCCAAACCCACGCCAACATCGCTAGAAATCCCAGTCTGGATTTTCCTGATTCCAGGCCCCTCGAAACGTCCATGGTTGCGTCGGCCGAAATATCTTTTCAGTCATGTTTCCATAATTAAACAAAGACTTAGATTCAGCAGTCACTATATAGCGAATGCATAGGTTAATAAAGAAATGTATATCAATAAAATAATAATAACAATAATAATATTAATAATAATAATAATGTAATGTTGATAAAAAGTAATATTATGACAACAATTAATGTTAATGATGATGATGATGATGCCATTATTTTGAAACGCTTTACTGGTTCTAAATTCATTTTTAGTGCTATTAAATATACACATTTTAAGTTGTGCATATATATATCTGAAGCAGTCGAATTTTTATTTCACTTAGTTTTTGCTTTCTCTTTGTTTCAAATTAGCATACGTTATCTTAGCCAAGATATTGACCTCTATTCCATGCGAAATCCTCTTGCTTATCGGACTTCGAAAAAAACATTGTTTTACTTACCATTTATTAAGTTGTCATATAAGCCTTAACCAGGCACTTTTTGGTTGCAGTTCACTCAACTTAAAACTTTGTAGATTGAAATGACATCGGTTTGATACTTCACGGAGTCAGATTTCTGATTAATTAAATGTTCTAAAATTTGCGTCATTTTAAATTTGGACTCGCTGAAATGCTTCTAGGAACCACTAACTTACTGTCCCGGCGCCAGACAAAGGCTTTTAATCGGCCTTGGGTGTTTTTTATTGTTCTTAATTGCCTGGTAGTAGAATGAATTGATTTTTTTGCTAACCCGGTTTTCAAAACTCCTGAGTTATATATATTGACTGAATTTGCTAAAACGTGGCTAAAGAAATTTCAAGTGCATTTTAACAATTTGACATCTAAGTTGAATGCAAAACAGTGAAAAGTCACCAGCCAAGCAGGGGCACCCAACGGCAATTTTCGGGAAAATATCTGTTCGGAAGACGATATGAGATCTATAATTTTCGGAGCATTTGTTGAGGGTCGTGAAGGGGTAAAATGGGAACTGGGATTAGCCTTATTGTGGACTGGGAAAATGGGATTTACTCACTGGGACTGGGATTTAGCCACTGGGAATGGGATGAACAATTATAAAATGGGAATGGGATTTCTTTTCTTCAGCGGTCTTTGCTCCAATATTTTGAAATAGAAAAATAAAATTTCGTAGCAATAGACCTTGTACTCCTCAGTAGAGACCGTGAAATCAGTATTTTTTGCCTTCGCGCCCGCGGTCTAGCTACCAGGCTTACACGGTTGCATAGTTACGTTCTGTCAGTTTGCATATGGCGGGAAGATGTTGTGAAGGGAAGATAAAAATGGCTTCGAAAAAGGTTTCTCGCAAAATGGTACTAGAAATCAAGTATGTCAATGCAAATAACGCCGTTATACACACCGAAAATTTGGTAACTGGGATTTTGGCAAAAATTAGCCTGGGAACTGGGATTTGGGCCAAATTTGGGCTGGGAACTGGGATTTGGTACCCCCCTTCACGACCCTCTTTGTTGTAAAATTTCTTGCTTGCCTGCCTCTCCTAGGATTTTCGAACATCTACAAAATGGTATAATTACCCATTTTTAACGGATTTTGACCCTAGAAAAGGCCACTTAGAATTTTCGGGAGCCTTTTCCTGGCTGAAATTTTCGAGAAGGAAAATTTTTATCCTTATAATTTTCGGATCACTAGACTTTCAGCTAGGAAATCCGAACAGATGAAAAGTTTCTAGGGAAAAAAATATGCCTATATCTACCGATTGAATACTAAAATACGTTCAACAATGCTATGTTAAGTGTTTTTGAACTATATCCTCGATGGGTGCCCCTGGCCAAGGCTCAACAATCACAGCTTTATTGCTGGCAGCAGACGCTAAATTTCTCTCGCAGAAGTAACAGTGATGAAATAAACAAGGAGTTTGAAACCGTCGGGAAAGCATAACTTCACAGTAGTCAGTCAAACCACGAGGCCCATAGCTAAGTCTTTGCCGAAAACACTAGATTTGACAACCTTGAGCAAAGTCACCTACACTAAACACTCATGAAGCGTTTTTATGCTTGGCGCAAAGTT